ATATAGTATTCAAAGAAATTAAGAAAAAAATGGGTAAATTTCATTTATATTCCCCGTAATTATTCCATATATTCAATGACATCCTCTACTTCTTTTGAAATTTCACTAACACCCTTCCTCAGTGGTTGTCTGCTAACAGTGTTAAAGGAGGAGGCCATTTAACATAAATGTCCATATGTACATCAGATAATATATTTAATTTTGGATAAACTTCATTCACACCTCCTATAATTATCAATATATTCAATGGCATCCCTTGCTTTTTATTCATGAAACCCTTAATTACCGGTAGTTAGGTTACTTAACTGGATGTATTTAAGAAACCCAACCCATCTCAACCCCATTACTCTTGACCATTCTCATTCTCATCCCCACCGTGTCTTTGATTGTAATCAATTTCACATTCGGCTTCATTTCTGACACGCCTTATTTCATATTTTCAACTGAACGGAATATTGGTACAAACAGATATGGAATTATACCATGCAAAATATCTACATGATCCCTTCTCACAGTTAAAATACAGTCATCCTTTAGTGGGCTTTTTCGATTCTACAATCTTAATCACAATCTTTTTACGATAATAACATCGGTCATAAGCAAATCTTATATCGACATTTTTCTCTCCTACATCTCTGCCTCTACCAAACTTGGATGAAGAAGACATTGACTCCTAACTTTAACAATGTCTCTGGATATATTGTAAAAAAAATTAAAAATTCATCCTAAAATTCATTATTGCATTAAGCCAAAAAAAAAATTGAAAACTCCACAAAATTAGGATATATTATAAACAAAAAAAAATAATGAGACAGAGGTTTTACTTGGCAAAAACGAAAACTTCCATAAGAAACGGGGGGTGTCATTGAATATATAGATAACTACATGGGCAGTGAATTAAGTTTACCCAATAAAATATATATATTTTAGGAGATCTAAATCCAAACAGAATTTGGAAAAAACATGTACATCATTTATGATGAATCTGGGCTGTTGGTTCAAGTGTTGGATAACTAAAATATTTGTCTAGCTTTATGAAAAGCAACTTTACTGGTTTAAAGATTTCTAATTCACACTTCATAAATCTCTCTCCCACTACAAATAAATAATTTGGTTATTATTTATTCTTATTCTTGGTGACAATCCTTCTATGAAAACACAAGCAAAAGAAAAGAAAAGACTAGAATCTGATAACAAAAACTGGCCATTGATAAGAAGAAGAAAATAAACTAAGGTCAAACATTTCCACTTTTCTTCAGTTTCCTTTCTTCTTTAGCTTTAGCAGGCCAGTCTAGGGTAAGCTTGCCACTCAAGCTTGGCATCACACTAGCTGCTGCATATGATAAAGGTTCTTCTCCAACACCCACCTTCCTTTGCCTTAGTGGGAAGCAAAAGACATATCCTTTGCTTGAGAATAACCACAATGTCATAGATAAAAGCATAGGCAGTTTCAGTTTTAAGAGTACTCAAACAAGCCGTAGGTGAAGTCCCAGACCAAAGATTTCAATCAATTCCCTTGTTGACTATATGTGAGGCCGGCAATAACAAATTAGATACAATGATTAAGTTGTATACTGTGATTAGCTTAATCGAACGGCCAATATATGAGAAATTGAGAATCTTCGAAAGATTTCTGAAGTGAACTATTGAAGTTGAGGATATCTTGGATTATCTATGAAAGAAGGCAGCTATTTGGGTTGACCTAGCTCCCAAAAAAAAGCCCCTATATGTCACATGCTTTAGAGAATTGTCTGTTTCACCAAAAAAAAGAAAAAAAGAACTGTACTTAGAAATTTGTAATGAAGTTCTCAGTAAATGACACACCTGTGTGTGAAAAAGCTTGTTAGGAGTGGTGTGGAAAGTGGACTCCATGTCATGTGACCCCAAAACGAATCTCCTCTCATCCTTGTATATAAAGGAGATGGTGAAAATAATGCTTGGCCAAATCAAAACCCTATGCTCTCTCTCTCTCTCTCTAGCATTAGTAGTTGAGGGGAACGTTGTCTGGTTCAAGATCTTTCGTAGGAAGCTCAAAGCTCATTTGAATGATTTCGGACCAGGCTTCATTCCCCTCAACTAGGAGAGACAACCACTATGGTAGTGCAATCGTGGCTGTTGCTTTCTACCACTCTGCAATACGGCTATGACTTCCTTGTTAATACAAGTTTTGAGTGAGGTAAATGATGGTGTCTGCAAAGTTAGCTATTGCCTGTTACAGGCTGCTCATCTGAAGTCGGATCATTTATATCAGTTGCTTTCAAATTCTTTATGGATATAGTCTTAATGCAAGTTGCAGGCACAGGCATACAGGAAGCTGAGTGGAGTAATTAATCTACTTGAATCCAGCAATTGCGGTGAGCTGCGGGTTAAATGGTTTAGTTTTTCAACCTGTTCGACATAATTTTATTCTGTTTCCTTGACTTTGAACTAATATTTTCACAATGATTTGGTTGGTTCATGTGAACATATGACTGTAGAATTTGGTCATTAGTTATCTTTTTCTTTCGTTTATCTCTTGGGACTTGGAGAGTAGACTATCACCATTTTGTACGTTGCAGGATTTCACATAGTATTTCGAGAGAAAGGGAGAGATTTAATTGCTTTCTTCCACCCTTCATATCCATTATTGAATGTGTGTGTGTGTGTGTGACAGAGAAGAAAGGTGGCTTAGAATTTGCCTCTTCACCCCCTAATTCTCTGTTGATCTGCTTAATCCACACCATCCTACCAAGTGTGCCGGATATAGTATTCTCTTTTGGGTCGACTTTTAGAACTTTGTTGGTCCTTGTCAGTTTAAAGACATAAACTCATTCCACTTGTAGTCATACTCATCAAAATGACTAAGTTAATTAACTTTATTAATCGCTCGTCCTTGTATTGGAAGATTGACATTCTATTTCTCTTATGGTGCTCGTTCTATTTTGATTTGAATTGGCTGGTCCTCCTGAGGTACATATGGCCGGCCCTTTGGGTGTCTCGGTGGTTCAGACGAATCATATCTGCATGTAGTTTTCAAATAAATGTTGAGGAACTGTGCAGACCCATTTCTTGTTGATATAGAAGTTGTCAGTTGCAGGTGTGTCTCTATTAATGTCAAGGCAACATCAACGTTTGAAATTTATGTTGAGAGTGTGGAATCAATCTACTTTTTGGGGGAGATAGGGTAGATATTTCGGTTTAACTGCTACAAGACTCATGATACAATTTAGCCATCCTATGAGCTGGGGCGGGTTGGCCAATTAACTACAAAAGTTGAATCTTGGATACGGTTTTTATTTAAAAAAAAATAAAAATTAAATGATGAAGAACTTCTCTAAGACATGACCACATCAAACTCACCTTGCAGAATAAATCCCGAATACTTGCAATCATTTACTAATCACAAGTATTAGCTAAATCCAAGAATCATCGGCACAAATCGAATACTTGACATTGGCCTTTACAATTCATCCGTAGCCAATTAGCTCGCCAAGCTGAAAGGTTACCATAGGATGACCGGGGTTTCCCGACGGGACCAAAAAAAGGTGACTACGGAAAAAAAAAAAAATGACAAAGACCCATTAATTCTCAATAGTCACAATCGGGCACGCAAACCCTTGCCAATTGCCATACACAAAACCACATGTCACGCCCACGCAGGCAAGACATGTCATTTTGCACATCACCAACCACTCCAAACCATTAGACCTGAGCTCGTATTCAAACAGCCACACACAACTGGGCACCCGAGAAGACCTCTTTTACCCAAAGCTCTCTTCTCATCCTTTACTATTATCCCCTCAAATGCCTTTTCTCTGTCTTGCTAATCACAAATCCTGTGACCTATCCCTTGCTCTAACTCCACTGCCTCACCATACTGATCGTATGTGTGACCACGAATGTATCTCACAACAATCTCAAATCCCAAACCCAAATTGTACAATTATGTATGGATAGATAGTCAAACAATCATTCCAACAACCATAAAGTGCACGTGTGTGTGTGTACGCGAGCGCGTGTAAACATAAATGTTAATGCACCTGTCACCTTCATTCAAAAAAAGAACAGAATTATTAGGGACAGAAAAAGATAGGGGATATCATCAACAAAATTTGTTCAAAAAATATCTTAAGCCAACAATTGTCATTGGTTTCTACTTTCTACATTTCTCCAAGGGTTCAACTGGAAAAAATATCAATTCCTTGTGTGAAAACACAATAATTAAATCCATCCTGAGTTCCTTCTCGAAGTAGCAAATGAATTATCACAAAATTCCATTACTTTTTGACTTAGTTGAAAAAGCATTGGACCACAACCACAAAATCCATCTAAAAGACATATTTTGCTTGGGATCACAATTACAAGACTTTGCCACCATAAAGCTAAACCTCACTTTAATCAGACACATCCACTTTAACATCAACAGAATATGATTCCCACCATGATTACGTATAGCATAATGAAGTCTCCAATCATTCAGGCTTGAGTGAACAACTTATTCCCTATGAATGTGTGTGTGTGTGTGTGTGAGGCCAAACCTTTAGATGTTATGTGAATAGTTAGTCAATTGAGTTGGTAATCAAGAAGACATGATTTAGGCATGTGTCATCAGATCACAAAGACAGTTCTGTTGGACACATTGGACATACAGCTCAGTGATAGATAGAACTTTAGCAACAAGCACATCCTGTCAAAATAACTATATTTATGAAGCTTTTTTTGGCTTCATTTTTCTGTACAGATAGAGAGTAGGTGTGTTGGGCCGAATAAGCATTCTTAACTAACCAGATAGCACATTTTTCCAATCTATATAATTACAAGCCTAAACAATTTCTGATGCGGGATAAAATATATCACTGACGACGAGGCAGGAAACAAGCCTCTACACAGTATGTTGAATGTTGATTTCCCACATGATTTTATTCAAGCATTCATAAAAAACTTGTCTTAGAATCTTTTTCACAAGACCCTGAATCCTTTTCACAAGACCCCAGCCTTGAAATTACAGCATTATCTGCTTGGCACCACATCCTTCATGATTTTAACTACTCCTTCAATATATTTTCAATTTTATTGAACATGATTGGGGCTTAGCAACATGCTGCAAAGTTTCAATATAGAACACAAAGTGATACATATGACAACTATCACCAAGTTACACCAAATATGTAAAGGTTGGCTACATGTCTACAAGAAGCCCGAGCTTATGCAAATGCTGTTGGAGCATAGCAGAGACAGGAACTCACAAGCCAAAAAATGTGCAATATGCAGGAAGACTGGGTTTCCTCTGTCTGTATATTCATCATAAATATCCAATTGGCCAAGTGTTCAAACCTGTTCAAGCTACAAATGATTCCTTTTGTGGTTTAGAAGCAATTTGGCCTTGAAAACACCATGTGAGAAGGACGAATTGCCCTTTTTTTTTTTTGGGTCAAAAGGACGAATTGACCTTGACACATCCCCATCTGCAGATCTAAGAAAATAAAAACTTCATTGCATAATCCCTGCAAATAAATCTGCAGAAAGATATAATAAGAACTAGATTTATTGCTGTATAAAGGGCTCTCTTACCTATAACATGAAGATCAATTGTCTTCTCAATTAATGGCCTCTGAAGGTATTGTCTGTCCACAATAGTCTGCAAGACTCTATTGAAGTAGTCCTTGGAAAACAACGTCTTTGAATCATTGTTAATGTCTTCAAACATGCCAGAGATTGCTTGCCAAACACTCCAAACTTCCAAGAATCGCCCAAGTGAAAATTCCATCCACAATGACTATTATCTTGTTTTGTGACATCCCATGATTTCATGTATACTGACTTCCAGTTCACCAATTGACCTAGCTCAAAATTTCTTCCACACAAGAGCCATCCACCGGAAAACTATCGTGGTGACTTTATGTTCGGCATGTCATCTTTTGGTTAGCCCTGGGCAGGAAATGTCGGAATCAAATTCAGATATTCACTATAGTTTTTATCCTTTGATAGAAAGCCTACTAACACAGAGACTGTGGATGCATCAGGTGAAACATTTGCCTCTACCATTTTTTGAAGAAGTTCGACCACTTTTGGTGCCTCATTATTATGGCTGAAACCCCTGATAAGCATGTTAAATGTTACTACATTCGGAGAACAACCCTTCTCTTTCATTGCCAAAAACAAATCATATGCCTTTTCTAACTGTCCTTCTTTACAAAACCCATGGATCATGATGGTATATGTTACAACAGTTGGCACCAGGCCTTTTTGAGACAATATGTCAAATAAGCCCCAAGCAATTTCAAGTTTTCCCGCTTTACACAGCCCATTAATAACACAGTTAAAGCTCTCAATACTCAGTTGAAACCCCCTTTTTTGGAGAGCCTTAAACAATTCCATGGCCTCCTCAAGGCAATTATTTTTGCAAAATCCATCCAATAAAATGTTATAAGTAGCTGAATTTGGTGTCAGGTTATGAACCTGCATCTCATTAGAAAGTACCCGTGCGTCCTCAACCTTACCTTCCTGAAAAAGATAAGATAATAAGGTGTTATACGTGATAACTGTCGGCCTAACTCCCTTGTGAACCATTTCTCTATAAAGCCTCATAGCTCCATCTATCATCCCTCTCTTGCAATACCCATTGATCAAAACATTATAGCTTATTACATCACGCTTATGCCCCTTGGTCTCCATCGAAATAAACAAATCTCTAGCATCATCAATCCTACCCATCAAACAAAAGCCATCCATCAATGTGTTATAGGTAAAAGCATCGGGCTTTTCACCTCTCTGAACCATCAATTCTAGCAATTCACTTGCTTCTTTGAGATTTCCTCCCTTGCAAAGTGCATTTATCCAGACATTAAACGTTACCACATTAGGACAAATCCCTTGATCTATCATTTCATCAAAGAAACATTTGGCATCCGCCCACTTACCAGAAATGCAGAAACCATGAATTAAACAAGTATAAGCAATGATATCTGGTGAGATTCTTCTACCTTTCATCTCCAAAAAAAGCTCTTTAGCCCTGTCTATTGATCCCTCTTTACAAAGACCGTCAATTATTGAATTATAACAAATTAAATTAGGTTTACATTCAACCCCAAAATCAGTAATCCCATTCACCATTTCACCATGCAACCGAAGAGCAATTTGCATGTTGCCCGTCCTACATAACCCATTAATCAAAGTCCCATAAGTTATGACATGAATTCGACAACCCAATTTAATCATTTTCATGAACAACCAGACCGCCTCACCAATCTTGTCCTCCATAAACAGCCCCTTAACCAGTGATGTGTAAGTTACCGTATTTGGAGTATAACCCCTCTTAAAAATTCCACCCAACAACGAAAAACCATAGCCAACCCGTTTCAAACTACAGTAACAATTAAGCAATATGTTTAATGTAATATAATCAGGCGGTATGTTGGCTCTAATCATGCTATCATACAGAGATATTACTTGATTATAATGCTTGACTTTACCCACAGCACCTAATAATACATTGAATGATGAAATTGGAGGAGTGGGTTGCATGTGAAGCATGTGATCAAAATGATTTAACGCATCATTTAGATTAAAATTGCCTGATTTACAGGTGGTTTTGAGGAATTTTCCAAGTGGGGATTGATTTGGAGGATTGAGAACTGAGAAAGGTGTAGTGGGATTGGAGTTTGATGTAGTTTGTTGAAGTGGGTCGATGAATAAAGATGAAAGCTTACCTCCTGGGATAGCTGTTCTGGAAACAGTGGTTGCTGCAGAAGAAGCAGAACAAGCTGCAATTTTCAGAACCATTCGTATTCGCGCTCACAATCTGAGAGAGAGAGAGAGAGAGAGAGAGAGAGGGTTTATGGATTTTGGGGGTTCTTTTTGGCACCTGGGGTTTTAAGATCCAAATATCCGGATTGTGATTGGGCCCAATTTTGATTGGTGGGCCACGTTGACACGGATATGAACTAGAGAGTAAAGCTCCATACAAACTTGTGAAGAATACAAATGCATTAGTGTGTATAGTGTTCGGAACAGTGTGTTCACCAAGAATAATGACAAAAGGTTTAGTGTAAAATCAAACTCTCGGATAGTTTAAATGGTAATAAAGATGAGTTATAAATTGAAAGATCGTGGGTTTAAATATTAGTAATCTATTGGAGTCAGATCATGAGGAATGACTTGTCTTTAACTAAGGCAGACCAAAGAGAGATTAATTAAAATATATATATATATTAATTCAGACACTTTGACCATTGAATAAAAAAAATGGTGTAAAACCTGGAATTGAAGGTTCACGATTGCATCCACCGGTTCACCTCATCACAACAAACTCGAACTACGCAACCATTTCACTCTCATTATGCGTAAGACTGCTGATTTATATAAAGAGTAATGCTAGATAGACTTAAAAATTAAATTTGATAATCTCAGCCATCGAAACAAAAGTGTTTGATGTGTCATTCCCTGATTTGCTGCTGTGGTGGAGAAAGGAATGCGATGCCAGTCACTTTTTCATATCTATGCCTACCCAAAAAAACCAACCATAACAATTTTATTTTTGTCTGATAATATTGTAAGGAGGGTGGCCACAAAATTCGAACCCACAATGTTAAAATTTGACAGTAAAAATAATTACAATTTAAAAAATTCTATCATTATATTATATATAAATAAGTAGTAATAGAGTTCAAAAATAAATATTGGTTATCTTTTTAGACAAACGTTTTTTTTTGTTATATTTGTCATATTATCTTTAATTTTTATATACAATTATTTGAATAATACTTAATTTTAGTATTTTCAATAAAAAAAAAATATTCTAGAGTTACAGCTCGTTGTTTTGGTCAAGGGTGTAATATGAAAATTTCAATCTTTTAAGAGTATAAACTGAAAAGACAAAAATCTCTGGGGATACAAAGTGAGATTTGCCCCAACAAATTAACATGCAACTGCAAGAGGATTCACAAGACAAAATCTGTTTCCTCCGTATATGCAAATTCAATCAGAAAGAGAAATTGTCTCCCATCTCTTTTCTTGGGTCACCAAGACATGCAGAAAGGTAAAGGTAAGCCTGCATATTAATTGATATTCATTCTCTCCAATCCTCCTATACATTTCTTCATGATCACAACCACAAATTTAACTACATTTCATTCCCTTTCAGATTATAATGTCAGTGGTAGCAAACCCACCTATACACAGATCCTTGTGGCCTCCTCCATTGGCTTGATCATTGCTGCGGCCATGCATTATCGTCTGAAAAAAATAAGAGATCAAAAGATCGTCCCACGGATCAAAGTCCCAGATTCCGGCCAACCTGTGAAGCTTGAAAGGTTCTCCCATTATGTAGGTAAGTACGTGATCTAAAAACAATACTAGAACAAATCGGATAATCGAAAACACTTAATGGGGTGGGACTTCTTCTTTTTCCCACAACAACAAAAAATCTTCGTCGTATGTGGTCCTTTCATAGTATTTTATTGCTAAGTATAGTCAGGATTTTTTCGATTGATCTGTCTATCAGCAAATAAATATACGTAGTTTTATCAGAATGGTCGTTTCTAATATGCCAAGTTAAGATGGAAAAACCTTAACGTTGGGATAAAACGTCCACCTACCTCTCTAACCTATCTATTAAATACAGCTAGGCAGATGGGATTTGCAGATAGAAAAGAATGTCCACAACTCTGCAAGTTGGCTTCTGATTATATCAAAAAATCAGAAGGGTGTGAGGACGATATATATGCTTTCTTTGCCAATGAACTGGACGTGGATTCGCTGTATATAAAGCTAGTGGAAGAGCTTGAAAGATGCATACTTAGTTATTTTGCATTTCATTGGAGCCATGCTCCTAATATGATCAGTCAGGTACTTCAGATCAATTTTTGAGAGTAATTAGAGATTACAGTAGTGATTTCCCAATGGAAATCTGATTCTTTTGCTATGAAAATTCAGGTTTTAGGTACAGATTCTGAGCCCAGAAAAAAGCTCAAACAAATCGTCATGGCAGCGACTAGGTTGGTTTTTCCATTTCCATTGAGATGGGAGGGGTGTCTAGTGTGGCCTTGGTACGTAAGAACATCAACATTGGTACAAATGTTTCATGAACAATATGACTAACATAAACTGCAATGGTAAGAACATCAAACCACACCCATTCATGATTCATGCCCCTTTTGGTCCTTTTGTTTTCAACAAACATATCCAGATCTCTTAGAGCAGCCACTACTCTCCTCAGTACACAACCCTTTTAACAAAAGCCATGCATTAATGACTGTATGTACCTGAATATTGGACATGTTCGACGTGGCTCTCCATCTCTACCAGGAGCACCTATAGGGATTAAAACGGACAATCAGAAAAGAGGAAGGCTATCCGGATCTATATTAATAAGCCCTGCATCTTTATTCTTTTTTTCTCTTTTTTTGTTTTGTGAAAAAATAGGGAACAGAGATTTCAAAGGGTGACAAAGAATCTGAAGGTGGCAAGGGTTTTTACCACACTAGTGGAGGAGATGAAAGCAATCGGACTTGTATCGACCGATGATTCACAATGCACGGATGTCATGGTTCCAATGGCGCATAAAGATAGAAGCCCTGTCCTCCTCCTCATGGGTGGTGGAATGGGAGCTGGGAAGAGCACTGTGCTTAAGGACATTCTCAAAGAGTAGGAGCATTTACATGATTATCAGTTATATAGCCATGTATATATAGTTCATTAGTATACTAAAGAAGCACCCATGAACTATATTGTATAAAAACATGTACAGACCATTCTGGGCAGGAGCAGCAGGGAATGCTGTTGTGGTAGAAGCAGATGCCTTCAAAGAGTCCGATGTCATTTACAAAGCCCTAAGCTCTAGGGGCCACCACGACATGCTTCAAACGGCAGAACTGGTACGCTTTGAACCCTCTCTCCAGGTCTCCACATCTCCATAAAAAGCAGATTTGTAGAAAGGCCTATTTGAGAGCCTCCTCTTTTGTTTTAACTTCGGCAAAAGAGGAGAGGGGGGGGGGGGGGGACTTCTGAAGAATGACATACTTCTAGCATCACACTCGCTATTGAATAGGTTGGACTAGCATGAAAACGTGCAGGAAAATGTAAATGCCTTTTCCAGCTTCAACCATCCTGGTCATAATAATATTCTGGATCTTTAAGTACACTCTAAAAGTGGAGTAAAAGATCCAGAAAACCTGAAATTTCCCTAAGAGAAATCTTCGCCAGATAAATGATATGTCCCAAGTTCACATGTTTTGGACCAAGAGCCTGAAACCAACTCTGTTCTATCAAAGCAAAATGTCTGCCAAAATTATGAAATATGCACTTGTTGACATCAAGAGGTGAAAAGAAGTCAACAGGTTCCAAAATTAGCATCATTCACCAGACAACAAAAAATTATAAACCAAAAACAAACATATACTTCCATCAAAGAACTAGAACCTATTATTACACCTAAAAATGCTATAATTAAAAAAGCAAAATCCTCATAATCTTATGCACCACATTTTTTCTCTCTTTCTTTTCTTTCCTTCTATTTTAGCTTAATTTCACAACTCTATCCCATTTTGAGTCAAGACTAATTCCAACATACATATACTTCTAAACAGGTGCATCAATCATCTACAGATGCAGCATCATCCCTCCTGGTAACAGCACTCAATGAAGGGCGAGATGTGATCATGGATGGCACACTCTCCTGGGTTCCCTTTGTGATGCAGACAATAACCATGGCCAGGAATGTCCACCGCCGTCGTTACCGCATGGGAGCAGGTTACAGAGTGGACAATGGAGTCGTAACTGAAAACTACTGGGAACAGATCGAAGAAGAAGAAGAACAAGATGGAACTAAAAAGAGAAGACCATATAGGATAGAGCTGGTTGGAGTTGTCTGTGATGCTTATTTAGCTGTTATTAGAGGCATAAGGTATGTGAAAACAACATATAAAGTAATTTGAAAAACTGAATCATTGCTAGTGTTGTCACAAACAATAATCAACATTGATGTTGAAACTGGTTCATGAACTTTCCTGAAAGAGGGTCATTTCTTAAAATTCCCTACTAATACATTTCAACAAAGAAACCTTAAACATGTATCAAAGCACAATTCCCATTAAGTTCTTTGTTTCCAAGTTCTAAAACCATTTTGCAAAGCAGAAGAATGCACTTGCTTTAATGGTCTGATGTGTTCATTCCTTTCCTTGGTTTTTAAGAAGTTTGGCGAGGCTTAGATAAATTCTTCATGACTCTCTTTGCAGGAGAGCTATCATGTGTAGAAGAGCTGTGAGGGTGAAATCACAGTTGAAATCACACAAGAGATTTGCAAACGCATTTACAACATATTGCCAACAAGTAGACAATGCCAGGCTATATTGCACCAATGCTTTGGAAGGCCCACCTAAGGTACATTTTCTGGCTCCTCTCCCTTTCTATTCAATCTTTCTTTTATTTGACTTATCTGAACCCTTGATCAAGAGATTAAGAGGAAGCACAAACACCAGAAAACTCCCTTTACTTCTAACCCAATCAAATAAGTAGGCTACATTTGGCTAAAACTCAATAAAAGCACAATGAGCCCTAACTGGGCAACTTCTACCGAGCAGTTGTTTGTGGGAAGAGTCTGCCACCAAACTGCATGATTCTGACATAATTACGATTGTGAAGTTGATAGGGTGGAAGGACAAAGACAAGACTTTGTTGGTTGATCCAGATGAGATAAATTGTTTGAAAATGGTAGGTGAGTTGTACGAGGAAGCAGACTCCATATGGGAACTTTACAACCGCCCGAACCCAGCTCATGAGGCGGGGTCAGTGTGGAAAGATATTGTTCTGTCGCCTTCAAGGTTGAACATTCAAAAGGAGCTCAAGTATGCAATCCAAAAAATTGAAAAGGATAATACTATTGCAGGATCAGTGCAATTTCAAACTGCTTCTGATGCATGTCTCAAGTGATGGAAGCTGAACAAGGTTTTAGATTATCAACAAGTTTTTGTAACCAGAGAACATTTATTTGCATTGTAATTAAAACCTTAAAATCACACAATTTTTACCTTCAAATTTAGCTTAAATTGAAATTGAAAATTTAGCATTCTTAAATGTTAATGCTATCCATTTGATATAAATGACAAACACAAGGATAATGCATGAATATACCAGAATTTGATATTTGAATTGCACGAGAGAGTGAAACAGAACGATCAAAACCACAATCATAAGCCATTATCTTAAAATTTGTATCACTTTTAATTGTCTCAACGGGTAAGAAAAGGTTCAACGAGATGCTGGATAATGTTTTTCATGTTGAAGTACAGATCAAGAATTTGGCACTCTGATATCAGAAATAAAGAGAATAGAAATAAAAAAGATACACCAGAGAGAGAGAGAGAGAGAGAGAATAAGAGAACGTTACCGTTACAAGTAGATAAATTAGTTCCCAGTCTATACAAAGTCAGGAGGTGACCTCTACTTTCCATCCAAATCTCCTTTCTTTTGCTTGTTTTCTTGACATTATTAAAAAGCTATATGACTGCAGCAACTTCTTTTCCTCAGAACATATTCAGAACCCCTTCTCTATCGCAATTTGGTTTGCCTTGTAGAGATGCAGCACCCTCAGGAGGGACAACCATGCAAGCGTAAGCATCTATTCAAGAGCAGTCTCGATAGCAGACATTTACATGTAAAATAATGATGATCCGTAAGACTTGTGTCATCAAGTGTGCAACTAACCTTTGATATGCTTTTGGCATTCACTCCAGATGATAGTGTATCAGGGGCTGCTAGGATCACAAGAAAACACACAATGCTCATATGTAGCAACAAAGTTCAGGGTGAAAATTATCTTACCATAGTCTTCCAATTAAGTTAGGCCGATATAAAATTCGTGGTGATCTAATGATTCCAGCTGACAATAAAGACATAATCTTCCCCTTATATGCAACTAGTATGAAAGTAGACCGACTATCTCAATCAATTTGGTTTTTTTTGGGTGGGGTGGGGTGGGGTGGTGGGGGGAAGATACCTCTAGTGGAGATAATATCCAAACAACTCGAAAAAAGCATCATGAAAGTTTTTAGTAATCATCCGATAGGGAAAATATGTTATTGAAAGGCTTTTTCTTTTCACTTTCTTTTTTTTTTTTTTGCCTCTCCTTGTCAAACAAACTTCTTCACATTTGCCAACAGGCTTGCCTGCCTAATCATAAGGTTCTCAAGAACAGAGCAAGCAGCAATCCACCAATAAAAATACTACCACTGAATTCATGATTTAATCTATGGTTTAAATCATGCCGATTTTACTATAATGTGTTTTAATGGGAAAATGCAGATAATTAGGTTTCCAGGAATCAGTAAATATTAGGGTGGCATAGACTTCAATGCAGCAGGCAGTTTAAGGAATGTTGTGATATTTCAGACAAAAACATAGGAGGATGTGAAATGCAGATGCCTTTAACAGAACACTATCCAAATTACATACCATCTACTGATAAACAAATCTTACTATCACTGCTTATTGGCATCATCCTCAAAATTTAACATATATTATAAAACTCTCTGTCTTTCAATCAATAATTAATCCTCTTATTATTTGATAACTGCTCTTATTCAAGCTCTTGGCTATCACTGTGTGTATTAGTCTGAAATTTAAGAGGAGTCTCAGATGACAACTATGAAGTACTAGCCAGATCAGGGAATTGAAGCATGAATAAATATCGCCTACCACCTAATTCCAATTCCAAGCTCAAGCACATTCTTGTTTACAGCTATATTTTACCAAATCCTCAATACTTAAATAATAATAATAAAGAAAAAGATGCTAATAATTACCTAAGACACAAAAGGAATGCGAGCATTTCTTAGATTATTTTTTCCAAATAGGTAATAAGGAAGATTTCTCTTTTTAGTGGTTTAAGCAACCACCTAGTATGCAGCATAATTCCAAATATAAGCAAGTTGATAGTCCACACAACTCTGTAAGGATTGGGCTGCTCCGACTATGCTGACTTTATGTAATTCTGAGAAGCTTTCTAAATTTCAACGTCAAGGTTAGGAAAATTTGACAAATAAATGTCAGGAAGTCGTCAAAATGTTTACTTGATCAAACAACCAAATAATGAACCCCACACCATAAACAAATCATTGATATCCAAATTGACTATTTTCGATTTCTTTTAGCCGTATTCAGTGGGTGGTAACATTTAAAAGCAGTTTAGTTGACAAGTATTCAACTAAAAGAACTCACAACTGAGTTAAGAAGACAAGGCCTACTGCACCATCTATGTTTACCCTTAGAATACAACTTTATCCAGAAACCACTGGCATTTCCAATAATATGAAACATTATCATTCCAAATTACTGCCTGTTAAACTTCCAAAAATAAGATAACAAATAAAAATCAAAACTCTGCCTCTAGCGCTAGCTATGGATGAGTTAAATATATTAATTCATAACCAAGAGGAAATGGATTCGGACCTTATTTTCCACCCTTGTCATGGATTTTCCTTTTTCTCCATCTCCTAAAAAAACTAATAACACCACATATCCATAGTGATAATTAAAGAACATGATTGTTTAGACATTAATGGGCTCTAAAGCAAAAGCTAATTTCAGGTAAGACAAAATTATCATTTCGACAAATAATAATGAAACCATTGTTAAATCCATTTTCCAGCCACAGAGAATAATTTTTCATAATGATTCCCCCCCCCCCTTCTCTCTCTCTCTCTCTCTCATAGAGATATACAAAGAGAGATCAAAACTAATAAGGAAATATGTAACTTGTATCATTGTCTTTGCTAACTTTGTGCATTCTGACCATTTAATCAATTACATATATAATTAATCTCCATGGAGAGGAAAAAAAGTTGGCATGCTTAGCTGTGAATAAAGGATAACGTGTAATGATGGATACAAACAATGTTCCGAAAAAGGGAAGCTCAGTTCTTCTTTAAAATTTCGAAATTACCATGTAGTCAAGGGAAAACCTACTACTTGTGGTCTAATTTCAAATGTCATACACTACCACAATATGGTCAAAGGCATTAGGATGGATAGATCACAGTGTCACTAAAATAGGAAATAATGACAAAAAAGCACCCAAAACCGAGGCCAGAAACATGATTCTGCGGTGAAAATGTGAGATGGGAAGCAAATTTGTAATTGAAACCAGAATTGAAAGTTTAACCAAGAACCTGTACTAAAAGCTGTAAACCTCCAGAAGAGTGCTTCTTTATGTTCACAAAGAAGTCTTTTTAATAATACAAAAAGTTGAAAAGGCAGATAAAAACAACGGTGTGGGATGCAGCTAAAAACCTAACACATATATGAGAGATGCTCTAGTACATCACTGATGGAACAGATATTCAAATTATGGACCATTGCAGACAGTCACACCATGCAAACAATGCCAAATCACAAACCTCGCGTGGGGCTAATAGTTTTCATTTCCCATCTCATGGAAAACCCTTTTCGCTCCGCTTAGCCTTATCCCCCTCTAGGGGTATTTTAGTGATAGGTTCTATAGGAACTGGACGATCCTATTTGGTCAAAGGTAAGGTATGATCCCAGACCCCCAAATTGTCTTGAAAATATTATCGTTATCCCTATTCTTCATGAATGTGGGAAATCATTATTGTTGGGAATTAAAATTTTATCCTATATTTTTCAAACACCACCCAGGCTCTTCTGGAACATCCATAATTCTATTCATAGAAAAAATAGTTCCTACTTGTTAGAAACTAAAATAAGGACTGATTGATCCTCATGGAGGGCATCTAGGAAACTAAATGTGTTAGGAGGACAGTCAAAAGAAAATTACATAGCAGATTCCTGCAAGTAAAAAAGGTAGATGTCACATATCCCAACTGGATAGTTCAACAAAACCTTAATCTCAACTCTTTGGGGTGCGCTACATGGATAAATGTCATATTTTCAGTTAAATTGTGAGCTATCATATCCTTTTTTACCCTACTTCCCACTGCAGAACTGATTTCAAAAAATTCCGCTAGATCTCTGCGTGTTAATGTCCAGAAACCTCTTGGACATAGACAACTAGCAACTTCATTTGATCAACAATATGTTATTGGAAAGACTAACAATCAGTAGCCCCAGCAAAGAAGTAATCACTTCGAAACAATATTTTTCTCAACTGGAACGACAGTCAGAACAGATATGGAAAACACTAATTTGACAACGCACTACAATAAACTACCTTTTAGCAACCAGTATTTCTTTATTTGCTCATTTACAGTCTCACTCATTACTTACTAACAATATGCACGTAAATTTTATGGAGGCCAACTGTTAGTCTGTAATTCTAGTTATAGAAGTTTATGAACTCATATTACGTAAATATTACAATGATTATCTGGAGAAATTATGCAACACGAGCACAAATAATAACTATCAGATACCTGTCCGTGCAACCCAATGATTAAACTCTAGGTACAATAAATTTAATAATACTCCTAAGACAATCTACCTGCACGGGTGAATTCCTGCAATGAGTTGAGATAGCGATGCGTTGAACGATACTGAATGATGAACCTGAAACAATCAAAGGATTAAGAAAGAGGTCAAGTGTGTACCCAGCTAATCCCTCCAAAGCTCAAGTCAGTAGCCGTTGAAGCCATAGCCCACAGTATATTCTCTATTTGCAGATTGCATACCTTAGTCCAGCTTCTTTAGGGGTATTTATACCTGCGTTTGTAATGATGGCAGTGCCATTGAGTCTCATCTTAGAATTTAAAGACCTGCACTCATATCCTAGTATAATGAGTGTCATCCCATCAAATCTTCTCAAGACTAGTCTTCTGGGGCGAGTGGACCTTTGCTTGGAAACCGCCGAACAATCATTGCCCAACTCCTAGTCATTAAATACTTCTTCTCGGTACTTGACACTCGCGCCCGAGCGTTCACTAGTCGGGAACAAGCATCCTCGGGGTTGACTGAGGACTTCATATCAGCGTAATAACCATTAATGCCTTCTAATGATGATTATCTCCATATTTTTCGAGAATCTGGACACTCGTGACTCTGTTACAGCCACTCAAAACCTACATTAATGAGTTGTCAGATCTTTTTTAATGCTAAGTTCTGAGGGGCGTACTCGATCCTTTCTCACATAACTCCTCGGCATCTCTATCTGGCGCACTCTGACTGCTATAACCGTCCACGTGTCCACTCATTACTGTCAAGTTGCCAAAAGTCCCGTCACTACCCTAATTCCATAAAGATTGTCGGAGAAACTAAATGAATGCCCGGCAATACTGAGTTACCATGGCTATATACTTGTAACTGAAGAAGTTTAAATAAGATAGATGATGCAATTACTTAGATGCCATCTAGATTTGCAAACATATGATGACAATGACGACAACAAAAATATTTGACTTTTTACTCACAGTTAATACCCTGTCAGTTTACAAATGTATCAAGGTGAATCTTTCGCACCAAAACAGAAACATATACATAGCTTATTGTTGATCCACATACTATGTTCATCATGGACAAATGTAGTATAATCAATTTCTCAGTAACTAACAAACTGCCACAAACGTCTGCATAGTGCTACCATCTTCAGCATTGCACAATACATTTACATCAAAAAATTAAATGGTCAGTAGCCAGTGATACCTTAACAAATGATTCCCAAGTTGTCATTGAAGTGGTCAACTCCAAATGCATTTTCTTCACAAAATTAAATATATTGTTACCTAAGGCATAACATTATTCTTGGAGTTCCATTGCATTCATGAATGCGATGCTTTTTCAAAGGATGGCAGCAGCCAAGCCCACCTCCTGGTTGTCAACGCACGATTCTGAATGGTGGTCTCTGAGAATTAGAGAATGTAACATATAAACAAAATCAATTCATATTCCAAATTCTGATGTCTATGCATAATTTGAAGCTTTTATCCCAAAAAGCTAATCATCTTCATCACATCTGAACCACTTGAAGAAGTTAAGGAGAAGCATAAAAATATAAGGCTACAGAAGCATTAGAGCGTTCAGTCTTTACCCATGATGATGAACAAAGGCACGTGCCATATTCACAGAACAGCTCAGCTTTGTCTCACGTGCACCTCTTAGATACAAAACCTGGAATTGAACATTCATGATTGTGTTGATTCAATCACTTCATCACAACACTTCAATGGCGTACAATAAACGCCTCATTCTAAATTAGGCCGGTGGTTTATAACACCCTACCATTACTACTTCAACGGCCAGGCTAATGTAAACCAAGTTAGCACGGCGCATCTCCGTCCTCATTAAACTAACATGCGCCACCACCATAAAACCCTAATCATCTGAAGCGATAACTAAATCGCCGGGATTTTCAAATTACTGTTGAAGGTCAGAGAGACAGAGGGAGCTAGCCAGCTAGAATGCGCAGGGTGAAACATGAATATCAACTCTAATTCATCTCGAAATATACTGAACATATCGCTACAACGAGCATTGCATCAAACCCTAGAAAACCCAAAGGGAAAAAAAATATGAAAATCTCAAGAAATAAGAAAATAAACAAGTTAATATCCGATTCTATCAAGTTTTCATTGGCATAAAAACCAAATACACCCCTCTAAGATAAAGAAATTTACAGCACTACCCCTACAAACTAACTCAGACCATTTACTTCTTTGCCTTCTTCGTAGTTGCTTTCTTCGCGGGCGTCTTCACTGTCTTGGCCTTCACGCTCTTAACCGGAGCCTTCTTCACCGCAGCTTTCTTCGCTGTCGGCTTCGGAGCTGCGGCTCTCTTCCCTGGACTTGTTCTAGTCGACGTCCTCGCAACTTTAGCAGGCTTGGTCACCGCCTTTGGCTTCGGCTTCGTTACCGCCTTTGGCTTCGCAGCAGCTTTTGGCTTAGCCGCAGTCTTTGGCTTTGCCGTAACGGTCTTAGGCTTAACACTCGGCTTGGCTTTGGCAGCTGGCTTCGGCTTAGCAGCAGCTTTAGTCTTCGAGGCAGACGCTTTTGGTTTAACCGGAGCTTTCTTCGCCTTTTTGGGTTTTGCAGCTTTGGCTTTGGCCGCCGGCTTCTTCTTAGCAGGGGCGGCTGAAGTCTTGGGAACGGCAGGCCGAGTCGGTGGAAGCTTGAACGAGCCCTTGACCTTCACGAGCTTACCAGCGGCCACAAACTTCTTCAGTTGAGTCAACAATAATTTTTTGAAGTTGGTTGGAAGGTTCTTGTGCTTCTCCTCGATGAACTTCGCAATTGCATATTGACTCGATCCCGTCTTCTCTTTCAAAGTCACAATCGCCTCCTTAATCATCTACACAAATGCAATAAAACTCAGATCCGAAAATTCAAATCACGAACTCAAAATCAAAAGAAACAAAACCAAAGCACAGAAATGGCTGTGATACCTCGAGGTATGGAGGGTGTGAAGGAGCGCTTTTGGGTTTCCTTGGAGCGGCCGGTTTCTTAGCTTTAGGCTCCTTTGCCTTCTTCGACTTCGCCGCCGGTGGGTCATCCGTGGCCGGCTCAGTTGTCACCGGCTCGGGTACGATCTCAATCGCCACAACAGCTTCTTCGGTGGCCATTAGAGAATCAGAGACCTTGAATCTCCTGAACTAGGGAGAGGATTGAGGTTAGAGTTGGGGCTAGGGTTTGTGGAGAGAACTGAATCTGAGAACGGACCAGAGAGAGAGATGGATTGGATTGGATTGGATCGGATCTTAACCGATGGAATCGACTGCTACTTCACGTTGGTGTGAGCCGATGATGGAAATTAGCTGATTTAAATAGTAAGCCTTTGAGAGGTCTAATCCAAAAGCCGAAATCTGATTGGTGGAAAGGACTTTCACGCGGATCGAACCCTTGGGGAAATTTTAAACTTGGACGGTTAGATTATACGGATGGACGGTTGAGAACGATAGATGAGTTAGGCATTGATGGGCTGCTATGAGAGTTTGAATGTTTAGGTAACTTTAGGTGTGTTTTTATGCTCGATTGATCTGGCCATAACTTGAGCAACACTGAATGGTTTTCAATGAAATTTTGATGGTTTTGTAGGAAATTTCGTAAGCTTTCTGGAGAGTATTCATACGAGTTGTGAAGATGAGGAGATTGAGAGAAATTTGGCTCCAAAGCCAAAGTGGTCAAGAAAGGGTTCCGCTTCAAGTTTGTTGGAGTTTTGAAGCATTTCAGGACAATGCTTGAGACCAACATGCAATTTTAACATCAGATATGATAGTAACTTAATAAATGAACCTGTACAATCAAGAATCTTGCTAATCGGACCAGATTTGAGTATAAAACTACTAGGTTGAATGTCACCAAAGATGAACATGCTTAACTAGTGTATAAGATATATTACACAATACCCTCTTGTATATCTATTGTTAACAGAAATAGTTTCAAGTAAATTGTATACTAAATATCCATAATTACAACAAACTCAAACACGCATAAATTCTTCGATTGATAAAATCATAGATCGAGTAATCAAGATACCAATTTTGTTAAGTATAATGATAGGTAGCATGATACATATTGGTTGCATCACATGGCATGCATGGACGTGGTTCCTTCTTCCACCTTCTTATCATTTACTATCATGTGTATCACAATATTCACCATATCATATCGTGCATATAATTGGGAATCGTAACCTTCACATATAATAATAACAGTGTTTGCGTACTATAATGCTTTGGTAATACGAAAAAAAACTATTCACATCCATTACTTCAACATTCAAGAGTGTTGGGTAAAAAAAAATCTTTAGTATACATAAAAATCGTGTCACAATTGTCACAGTTGGCTTATAAACCTACCATACCAATGTTATAAGCAAGTCCTTTAGTAAATGCTAGAAGAACACTCATGCTCATGTTGATACTTTCAGGCTTCTGCTTCAATGGATAATGTATGCCAATTTCATGGGTTATAAGTAATTGAAATCAAGCAATTGCTTATTTAGTAACAATAGGAGCATGCACCTTTGTTTCCATACTAGTTTGTTACATTTTTATCTTCATTGCAATGCACAAAAACCATGTAGTTAGATGTCTTACATATCTATAAACATCCAAAAGCCACCCCATTTGTCTTATTTGCAGCCCAAGTGATTGTCTTGTGTCCATTACCAATTACTTGCTTAAAAGAATACATTTAAATTCAGTGGTTGAGATCATCATCACAAAACACATTCATTTAAGTGGACGATAATTTGAATGCTATCATGTTTGTGTGATGTATAGCCAAGTAACACCCACACTTTGGTTTGCCAATATAAAGGGAAAATACTCTAGCATAGGATACATAGTCATATGCTTGAAGCATAATAAGATCTTCAAACATCTCATTTGGCCAATAACATCCATTGATCAATCGAAAACGAACCCTTTACATTTTTCTCTGTCATAAAAGGATAGCCGGATTTTATGAATGATACGCCCTTGTTTTTTTTTTTTTTTTCCTAGCTTTTAAGGTGTATCTTCATCCTCAAAAATAAAATTTTCTAGCTTCGTCCTTGGATGTGGAAATAGCCCGTGATACACTATATCATGACTTTATAAAAACAACTTAATACAATACCAATCATTATACATGACAAAAACTTTTACTCTTTTCACGTCATGCTTTGATAATCAATGAAGAAGAATAACCTGCATAACACAGTTGATATCTAAAAGAATGTTATATACAAGAAAATATTTACACTTGTTATAATATCCACCAAAATTAGTTGGTGTCTTATTCGTTAGTGAAGCACATTTAAGTCAAATTCCTTGTAAAGATCCAAGATGTTGCATTCTGTATCTGAATACATTGTTAAATTCTCCAAAGTGACTTAATGTATATATTTTGGAAAAGTGGTCATTTGATATTAGGAATACAGGTTTCACACACAACCCACTTGAAAAGAAAGAATTGAAGCATGTCATTTCTTCAGTGCAAAAGGAAAAAAAAAAACAATTGAGACTTGTAAGTGTAATTATTATTTTAGATTTTTCTTGACGTGGTTGTGGCAATTTAAAATGAAAAAAACTTTACAATCTGGTCATAGAAATATGACGAGCATAAAGCAGCATATAATCTTTTAAGAGATTGTGTCAACCTATAATGTTGTATCACTAAGATTTTCAATTGCTACAATTTGGATGTGAAGTCGGACCGACGCCCGTGGGCAGACACAATTCGGATAGATAAGGATGATTTTGGTTCATAAAATCTGTCTGCTTTATCTTAGTTCCTAAAATTTTTTCACTTTATTCCAAATGTGTTTTATATATATATATTCCAAGTGTGACTCTACCAACACATGAAATATAGAAAATTATTCCGATTGATGCTCTCCATTCTTTTTATATATCGCGACTTGTGTGAGACTTTAGAACAGTAAAAATCTGTGTTTGACATGTGTAACCTAACTTACCATGAGTCAAAATTTTTGCGTATCGTGATTATTAAGAAGGTTCATAAGAAATAATAAAACAATAATAAAATCTGTTAGTTCATTGTATTCGGATCTAACTGGGTATGACTTATCATTAGGCCTGACAATTCTAGATATGACTCATGAAATCGACACAAGGGATTTAACAGATTTAGGTGTAGTCTTAACGGATTCGGGTGGTTAAAAGGATTAATTCGGTAGGCTCATGAAATAAACTAACCGGTTTTGTGTTTAAACCATAAACTCGTTTTAACCTGTTAAAAAAAATTAAGGTCACTTAATCTCTTCCTTATTTCACACCTCTAATCTCTCAAACTTATTCAAATTTAGTAATTATTTAATTTTTTTTTATCTTAATTTTTTTGCTTAACCATAATTTATTGAAATAATAAACAAGTCAAACATGTGTAACGTGTGACGAGTTGATGATTTTTCGTTTTATTCAAAATATTATAACATATTCTCTTATTTAACGGATACGGGTTGTATCAAATAACTCATCTAATAAACGATTCGTGTATGGATGTGATAATTAAACTCGTTTATATAAACGAATGGAATATAAATAAAAGATTTTTTGATAAAACCTCGGTCCACCCGACATGAAACTGTTCTACTCGACACAATTGTCAAGCCTACTTATCATGTTTGGGTTGAGAATTGCAATCTCATTCCGAATTTCATGAATCATCATCTTTTGAGTGATTAATAAGTCGATAATTTATATCGTGAATAAAATTACTATTGGAATCAAATTCCGAATGATAATAGGAATCTTAAACCACCATGAATTGTGGTTATCTCATCGTACCCATTTAATTGGATATTATAAAAAAGAAAAAAAAAATTCAAAGTCCTTCCCAAAATTTAGTTTGTTGCTAAAGCCAAGCTATCTTCTTAAAATTATGTTCTTTCCTAAAATAAAGGTCATTACTAAAAATATTAATGAAAGATACCCATTCCTATAGTGGATTACCGACAATACCAACATTAAATAAAAAAGGAAAAATTTCAATTACACCCCCTTTAGTATCATATCTTTAAGGACACTCCTTCTAGTTTTTGAATCTTCAATGATACCCCTGTCAGATTAAAAATATTAAGTAGAATGTAATTTTACTAAAATATTTGAGGATAAACTTCATCCACACCCCCCTCTAGATAAACATATTTTCAAAAAAATCCCTCTAGATAAGTATATTTTCAATGAGACCCCTCTATTTTCTAATTTTTTTTTACATAATTAAATTCGAACCGAATAAAATTCGATTCAAGCGAATTAAAATTTGTGCCAATTAAAAATTATATTTTTTTTACCTATTAAAATTTGGGCTATTTAAAATTTTGTTTAAGCCAATTAAAAATTATTTTTAATCTACTCAAATCAAATTTTAATCAATTCACATTAAATTTTAATAAATCAAATTTTAATTGATACAAATTTTAATAAGTAAAAAAGTATAAATTTTAATCGACTCGAAAGAGAATTTTAATCGGCGCTAACAACTCGGATAGAATTCAAATAGACTCAAATTTTAATATGTAAAAAATAAATTTTAATAGGCTTGAATTTTTTTTAAAAATAAGGAATTAGTAAATAACAAATTAGTATTTACTAACAAATTATTTACTAAAATTGTTATTTACTAATTTTTTTTAAAATTTTAACAGCTCGAATTTTAATAAAATTTTATGTAAAAAAATTACTTGAGGTTATGTAGGGACATTTTTGATATTTTAGATGAATTTTTTTTGTTAGAAATGGTAGTTTAATGATAGGGGGTGTTAGTGATGTTTAAATTAAACTAAAAGGGATGTCATTGAAGATTCAAAAACTAAAAGTGGTGTCCTTGAAGATATGATAAACTAAAAGGGGTGTGGTTGATATTTTTCCAATAAAAAATTACTATGATATTTAAAAATCATGTATCACTTTACTAAGAATAAGATACTCATTTTTTTATTAGGACTTCTATCATCCAAACGAAGCCTAATTTTTCCCTATTAAGTAAAAACAGACTAAAAACATCATCCAATCTTGTATCAATACAATTTTTTTACTCAAATTGGAGTCAATATTGAAGATGACCTAAAATGGTTGGTTCACCATCTTATTAGCAGCAACCGTGAAAGATTAAATCAATGATCATGACACCGTCCTTCTCAAAACACCAAAATGAGAGAAGAACCGAGTGTTCTAAACACTTAATGCGTACTCTTTTTTCCTTGAAGTGCCTATCAATCACCCAGAGACACACAAGGATATACCAAAGTTCCTCAAGCTATAAATAGCAAACTTCCGAAAAGGCCCGAAATCACATCTGATTCTTGGAATTTATTCATTCTCACACCATGATGTGAAAATTGGGCATCTTCCCCCCCAGGGGGAAGGAACAAAAAGCATACCAAGAGACAAGGTTTTTGCCACTTAAAGACATTCAAAATTTTCCAATAATCCAAGAATGAGATGTAATTCATGTACACCTTCAATTTCCAGGGAGGGTAAAGATTTATCACCTCCTTTAATTAGCAGATCAATCACTGTCATTGAAAAAGAATATAACAAGATATCTAACATGAATGCCTATAATTATAATGCCCACCTCATCATAATATAATAAATATCAGGTTGGAGGGTCCCTGGCTACACATAAACACAGGAAAAATAACAAAACAACCTAAAGTGGAAGTTTTAGGTACACAGAACTAGAAGTTGAAACGACATCTATCAAGTAAAAAACAGACTATAAGAGGAATGGCTTATATTCCATTCATCTAAACTCAATGAAGCCACAATACCATTGATTCACAGACAATATAAAGCTCCTGCACTTACCACATAAATTGACATGTTATAGGATTAATGTAGCCGACACAAAAACTGTTGCGACAAGACATTGATGAGTTAGGTTGGGTTTTTACGTAAGTTCAACTCCTAAAAACTGTAAGGTTTCAAAATGCCCCACCAAATGGTAATCCATTTAACCAAAAAGCACTAAACAGTTAAAGAAAAGATTGTCATACAAAATGAGGGATTCTTCGTACAATCTGGAATCCTCAATTCCAGAATATTCTTAATCTAACCCTGGGCTTCATGTCAACCTGCCACATATCTAGGAGGATACAAAAGCTAAGAATACGTTCCTCAAGCTTGAACCACACAAACCATATACAGGAGCAGTTCAAGACAGAGCTTGAAGCATTGACCATCAGGGCCTTGGATCAATCTTGTCAGAGCTTTCCTTGAAAGTTCGTGTGTTTCCTGATTACGACGGTAACCTTGGGTGGTTGTGCTCACATTCATAAGTTACAGTAAGCATTGAAGGGTCTTCCAAGCACCTCTCCACATGTTTCCTTGCAGGGCAACCTCTCATGCTGCTACATTTATAGTAACCCCTGAAAAGGCCCAAGATAGACCACTCAGCAGGTTAGTCAAAAATTCAAGCCTGAAATTCGTGTACTTTATTGAAATAATCACCGAAATAAATTTCAAAGCACATAAGCATCATCACAGATAACTTAGGAAAATTGAGAATTTGTTCTATGTCCTCTCAGCAACCATAAAAAACATAAGAGACTTCAACCATCCAACACAACAACGTTTTAAATTTTTAATGTCATACCTAGACAAAGGCAATTTGATCGAGTCCATTAATATGGTGCTTACTTGTATCATTTCCGGTGGATTATAGACCAAACAACAACCAACAATTTTCACTTGGTTGATGGGCCAAAAAAACCAACAAAAAGGAAAAAATATACAGGCTTATACTGAGTTGGCTTGACCAAATTCAGGCAATTCTAACTACTAAAAGGACATTCATGCCAGAACGTCTCTTGCGTGCGGGTGTGTAGTGTACCAAAGGGATGGCAGGAAATAGATACTCTATGCACAGTAAAAAAAAAACTTAAACGCAGCACAAAAAGGATACGAGTTTTTAGCGCCATAACAAATAGATGAATCCTTCAAAAAAGAACCAACACACATTGCAAATCAACTGGTAGATCATACTTTAAAAATAAAAATTCAGTTGCAAAATAGGTCAAAATCATCGATGGAGAATGTAATCACTGAGCACTCACCAAACTAGCTGCATTACATAAGGCAGATAATGAATGTACCTGGGATGAGGAGAACCCTTAATTGGCTTCTGGCCATACTTCCTCCACGAATACTCATCAGGAGGAATATCTGAGAGCTTGTTACTAATAGCAGGTACTTTGATTGATCTCTTCACCCTATGTTTCCTGTTGACAGGATGAAAGAAAAAGGAAACAATGGCAAGCTATAAACAACGAATGAGGCAGCAAATTGAGAGTAGAATGTGTAAATAAATAACCACCTCTTCTTTGAGCAGTGACATCTTCCACTGCTACCACATTTCACGCTCCCATCATCTCCCCTTCCAGAGCACCTCCGCTTGTGCTGGTATGAGCTCTGATCCGCAGAGTGAGAAGTCCCAATTAAGTGGAAGGCACTTCCATCCAAATTAGCCACACTCCCGTCAACACTCAATGAAGAGATAAAAGACCTATTGGATGACATGGTGGGTGTGCAGGTAGAGCTATCGAAATTTAGATTAATGCCACTATTGCTTCCACAGTGCATCATCTCTGCCTGCTGTTTCAATTGTTGCTGCTGAAGCTGATATCTTTGTTGTTGTACCAAGTGAAAGTTGGGTGGTTGACTTTGTTGGCCAAGCTGAAGAGGGTTTTGCCCATTTGCACTCAATTCCGCCGATGGCTTTCCCAAAGAAAGAATACCTTTAACATTTGAACCCATGTCTCTAATTGGATTTTCATGAGAATTATTTTGAAGAAGCTGAAGGGTATTGGGTTGATTATCTGTTTTACATACTGGGTTTTCCAGAAGGATGTTCTGAGGAAAAGGGATTTGAATTCTCTTGACCGTTCTAACCCTTGCATGACCCAGACAATTATTAAGAAGAGAAACAACTTTCTTGAACCTAAACACAACCTTATCAGTTTCTCCCCTTAAGTTTCTACGCTGATCCTGATCTTGGGGTTTAGATAGCAGCCTAAGAAATCTGTGGCAGCTATCTACGGCTTCGTTGTTAGCTTCTTCAACCACCTCCATGCCGTCACCACCCTCAATTCAGAAAATATAAAAAGCCCTAAATCCTAAACCCCAAGAGACCTAATGTCCTAGACTAAGCAAACCATAAGCACTCAAAAGAGACTCCGTAAATCTACTAATTTACTAAGCAGGTTTTATATCATCCATAAACACACAAAAAAGAAACCTATATAGTAAATAACTCAATTTATTTGAAGTACGATCCAAACAAGGGCTTTCTGAATAAAATTTCAAGAAATTCAACTCAGCAAAGGGCTTATCTTCAAATAAAAGGACTACAAGAAGATCTGATTCAACTGGGTACGTGACAATCAGTCAAAAAAAAAAGAGAGAGAGAAATCCCAGATAGCAATTCAACAGCTACAAAGTAATTCCATGAAAAAGAAGAAGAGAAAAACTAATTAAGGGTAGAGAGTATAGAAAGGATCAACGAACAGACCTCTAGAGGTGGAATATGAGTGCTGTCAAACCCTAGATTATTCAATCTCCGTTGGGCGTGAGATTGAAAGGTGTGAGGGCAAAGACTTTGCTTCCCCAGACGATTCACACACACGAAAGATTCTGGTAATTATTTGAGAGAGAGAGAGAGAGAGAGTACAAAACAATACTTCAACAGAAAGAGAAGACTTCTCATTTTAATGGGATGTGAGGCTCATTTAATTTAAAAATAAAACACGCTCGGCTCAGCTCAGTAGCGAAACTGCCATCTCTGTCCCGTCCATCGAGAGAATATTCAATATAACGGTAATAAATAATATGATATTTTTAATTAAAATTAAAATTTTATATAGGTAAAATAAATTATATTTTAATAGTTATTAATTAATTTATATAAAAAAATAGTGAACAATTATTTATTTACATGAATGGATAGTCGCTAACTTATGTAAAATTTATTTTTAATTTATTTGTATATTATTAATTGATAATAACACGTGATAATGTTAATATAATATCACCGTTATAATAATTTCTTTTTTCGTCCTGAACTTGTTATTTCAAAATGAAACCTATTTAATCCTCAAATTTGTGTCTTGTATTCTTTCAAACAAGATGTCTAAAATTTAATGGTGTCACTATTTAATGTCAAACTAAAATAACGAAATACTATTTAATTTAAAAATAACTTTGTCTATATAAAAAAATAACCACTAAGTGGAGTTTTTTTTTTTTTTTGAATAAATCACTAAGTGGAGTTCATTTTATTTATTTATATCTTATTATTTGATAGTGATATCATTTGATAATAATAATGTAATATCATTATTACTCCCAATATTTATAGTCAATTTTTTTTATTAAAAAAAAAGGGGTGAATTATATTTTATATCTTAAAAGATTTTAAAATTCTCATTTTACACTTTTAAATATTAAATTTTTTAAATTGCACTCTCAATATATTAAAAATGTTGTAATGTAACATTTTTAAACTTTTCGTTAATTTTTTCATTAATGTCAATGGGTTAGTGTTTGACGAATAAAATAATAGAAACGAGCAAAAGGTAGGGGTATAACTCGGGTGGGTTGAGTGTTGAGAGATCAACTCTAGTTCAACTCTTTTCTCTACCTCAACCCTAGTACTGTCTGAGTTTAATTCTGGCGAGTTCGGGTTGAATTTGAGTTACTTAATTCTAGTTAATTTTGAGTTAAAATTAGATTGGCCTCGGAGTTACTTAATTCAAATTGATAAAAGAAGGAGGAGTGACGAATAAGAGAAAGAGAGGCTAAGAGTTTAAAATGAGACTCAGACGAGAGAGAGAGAGAGAGAGAGAGAAGAGAGAGAGTTTAAAATCAGATGAGAGACGAGTGACAAGTGAGAGAGGGATCTGAGAGTGATGGAGGCATAACGATGAAAACTTGAAGTGAAGTGAAAGTTTGGACTCTTAAGAGTGAAAATAAATATTAATCCTAGTCAAATATATTTATATATTTATGTATATTCGGGTTGAATCTGACAACCTGATGCTTCAATTCGAGATTTATCCGAATTTAATCCGAGTTGAAGTTTTTTTGCCCAGACCTAACTAAAGTATTAAAAATTCTAACTCAAATCCTGTTTTTTCGAACTGGGCTTAGGTTGAATTCAAGTTGGCCTGTCCAAGTTGCATCCCTGACAGAAATGTCACATTATAATATTTTTAATACATTAAAAATTTAATATAAAAATTTAATTTTTAATTAGTACAAAATAAAAATCTTCAAATCTTTCCCAGTATAAAATGCAAAAAACCCAAAAAACAAATGTGGATACACCATCGTAGTCATTTTAGCTGCCGTTCTCTTACCATCGGCGCTAAAAATGTCCGCCAAAAATGGGGTCCAGATCAATAATCCATAGCATTTTATACAACCTTTGTTAGTACATTGACCGCCAGTTTTTGTTTTTATTTTATGGTTAAAAAAAAATAAAAATATGTTTGGTGAATTTTTTTATTTTTTTAAAAAACTCTTTATTTTAAAAATAAAGTTAAAATATGAAAATATCTAAAATGATATTTTTAAAAATATCCAAAAAAACACACACGCACGGTAGTAGTCTCCCATTTAATGAGATCTTAACTTCGATTCTTCTTAGCAACAAAAAATAATTTTTTTGACTTTAATATAAACACACCCTCTGATCTCTGGTACCTCTCGACTCTCTCTATCTCTCAAACAATGTCTGTTGTGGGTTTCGATGGTTTTGGGGGTGGGTTTCGGTGGTTAGATTGGAGTTGGGTTTTAGTAGCTATGGTGGTGATTTTCAGTGATTGTTGTGATAGGTTTCAATGGTGGGGGTGAGTTGTGGGTTTTAGTGGTGGGGTTGGGTTGTGAGTTTCGGTGGTGGTTTGGGTGGTCAGTGGGAGTTGCAGATTTTTTCGAAAAGCTAATGGGATTGCAGATTTTTTGGCTTCCTATGTTGATCGAGGTGCTGCATTGATTTTTCGGTAGCTGATTTGCCTGGAGAAGGAAGGTTGTTGTTGCTTCTGGATCAGCTGGGGCTGCCCATAGTAAGGAGGAAAAAGAATTTGGTCTGTCAAAGTTTATATCCCCATTATCATTACTTGTAATTTTTTGGATTTGTTTTGAAGGATTAAAGCCATATTAGGCTTTAAATCCTTTTAATTCCGTAATTCTTTGAATTGATAAAATAAAATTTCTCTTTCTTTAAAATAAAAAAAAGAAAAAAAAAAGTGGTGGGATTGGGTGGTGGTTTTGGGTGACCAATAGAGTTGAGTGGTGGATTTTGGGTGGCCAGTGGGGGTTGAGTGGTGGGGTTTGGGTGGTCAGCAAGGTTGGAGTGATGAATTTTTGATATAATACAAAACATGTTTTTTATTTTTGTTTTTACAATTTTTTAAAAATATAAAAGACTACCAAATATGTTTATATTTTTAATTTTTATCACAAAATAAACAAAACTTAGTTCTATTTTTTTATAATAAAAATATTATTAAACTCACTCTTAATTTGACTGCCCGACCACCGACAACAGTTATTTTTAGCCGGGAGCACTGTTTGCCGGAGGCTGGCGGCTCGTGGGACCCAATATGAAGAAAGCCCCTACTAAGAAGTTAAGATTCATAATTTATTTTATTGCATCTCAAACTATCGATTTTGTTTGGGAAAATTTCAACCACTCCCTCTATTTTACCTTATCTTCAAGGGCATCCCCTCTAGTTTTTGAATCTTCAATGAACTCCCTATCAGATTAAAAATATTAAGTAGAATGCAATTTTAGTAAATTGTTCATGATATATTTGAGGACAAACTTCATCCACAGCCCCTCTAGATAAGTATAATTTCAATGAGACCCCATCTATTTTCTAATTTTTTTTACGTAATTAAATTCGAACCGATTAAAATTCGATTCAAACTAATTAAAATTTATGTCAATTAAAAATTATATTTTTTAACATATTAGAATTTGGGCTAATTAAAATTTGGAAAAATTTCAACGATACCCCTTCTAGGTTATCATATCTTCAAGGACATTCCTCTACTTTCTGAATCTTCAATGACACCCCTTCTAGTTTAATTTAAATATCACTAACACCCCCTACTATTAAACTACTATTTCTAATAAAAATATTTCATCTAAAATACCAAAAATACTCTACATAACCTCAAGTAATTTTATTACATAAAATTTTATTAAAATTCGAATTGTTAAAATTTTTAAAAAAATCATAAATAATAATTTTAGTAAATAATTTGTTATTTACTAATTTGTAATTTTTTAAAAAAATTGTGCCTATTAAATGTTTTTTTTTACATATTAAAATTTGAGTCGATTTGAACTCTACCCGAATTGTTAGCGCATATTAAAATTCTCTTTCAAGTCGATTAAAATTATATTTTTTATTTATTAAAATTCGTGTCAATTAAAATTAGATTTATTAAAATTTAAGTCAATTAAAATTCATATATTTTTATATATTAAAATTTAGGCTGATTAAAATTTAATGCGAATTAATTAAAATTTGATTTGAGTCGATTAAAAATAATTTGTAATTGTCTCAAACAAAATTTTAATTAGCCCAAATTCTAATATGTAAAAAAATATAATTTTTAATTGGCACAAATTTTAATATGTAAAAAAATAAATTTTAATTAGCTTGAATCGAATATTAATCTGTTCGAATTTAATTACGTAAAAAAAATTAGAAAACAGATGGAGTCTCATTGAAAATATATTTATCTAGAGGAGGTCTCATTGAAGATATGTTTATCTAGAAGAGGTCTCATTGAAGATATGTTTATCTAGAGGGGGTGTGGATGAAGTTTGTCCCCAAATATATCACGAGCAATTTAGTAAAATTGCATTCTACTTGATATTTTTAATCTGACAGGGGCTGTCATTGAAGATTCGAAAACTAGAGAGTGTGTCCTTGAAGATAAGGTAAACTAGAGGGGTGTGGTTGAAATTTTTCCTTAAAATTTTGTTTGAGACAATTACAAATTATTTTTAATCGACTCAAATCAAATTTTAATTAATTTGCATTGAATTTTAATCAGCCCAAATTTTAATATATAAAAATATATGAATTTTAATTGACTTAAATTTTAATAAATTTAATTTTAATTGACACGAATTTTAATAAGTAAAAAAATATAATTTTAATCGACTCGAAAGAAACAGAATTTTAATCGGTGCTAACAACTCGGGTTGAGTTCAAATCGACTCAAATTTTAATATGTAAAAAAAAAAATTAATAGGCTCAATTTTTTTTAAAATTTACGAATTAGTAAATAACAAATTAGTATTTACTAAAATTGTTATTTATGATTTTTAAAAAAAATTTAACAGCTCAAATTTTAATAAAACTTTATGTAAAAAAATTACTTGATATTATGTAGGGGTATTTTTGATATTTTAGATGAATTATTTTTGTTAGAAATAGTAGTTTAATGGTAGGGGGTGTTAGTGATGTTTAAATTAAACTAGAAGGGGTGTCATTGAAGATTTAAAAACTAGAGGGGTGTCCTTGAAAATATAGTAAACTAGAGGAGGTGTCGTTGAAATTTTTCCATTTTGTTTTTATTCTAATAGCATCCTATATACAGAAAAACAATGATGTTGTATATATATAATAGATAACTTTAACTGCAAAAATAGGGACAACACAA